ATTGTTTAAATAAAAGTTGTTTTTAATATAATTCTCTAAATTTTTATTCCATACATAATTTCTCTAAAATGGACCGTGTTCGAGATATTTGAGAAAATGTGTAAATTTAGAATTTTGAAGAAAACTCAAAAACGGATAAAGAAAAAAACATTAAATTTTAAACTTAAGGTTTATTTTGGCCTGAAGTGAAATGATTAGATTTTGGACAAAGTCGGAACATCTAGGGGGGTACTTTATGGGAGGCCGTTTTTATATTTTATGGAATATATCTGTTATTTATGTTTGGAGAAGAAAATTGTTCAAATAAAAGTTACTTCTAATATTATTATCTATAATTTTTGTTTTATGTTAAAATTTCCTGAAATGGTCCGTATCCGAGAAATTTGACAAAATGTGCAAAATTCTGATTTTTATGAAAATTGTTGAACTAAAAGTTGTTTGCGATATCGATCTCTATAATTTTTGTTTATACATTATTTTTCTAAAATGGACCGTAATGGAAAAGTGCTAAATTTAAATTTTTCAGTATTTTCGTTTTCAATGAATATCTATATAAAAATGTTTCGAGGTAGATGTATGTGGACAATGTATATATTTAGTTTATCCTCTAAACATTTATAGATATGCTGCAATAGGTTGTACAAAATAACCGGAAAAAGCCTATAAAAACTAGATAGGAAAGTCATGTGTTGGACACATCCGATTTTTTTTTCTAATAGTTGAAGTCCTTATTTATCTAATACTGAACTTTTAACTATACCTTACCTTGCAAATTTTTGAGAATTTTTTTTTTAAAATGTAAGTATTTGTACAGTTCCTCACGAGAAAGTAAGTCCTCAACAACAATTCTCGAATTATACTATTATTTATTGATTAGATGGAGTAGAAAAAAACTAAAAATAAGGTTTTTGAAATATTTAGATTTTGTTTTATACAATAAAATATATATAGTAAACCGTGGAACTTATTGAGAAATTAATATTAAAAAATCACAAAAAAATTTCAAGTAACCTAGTTGAAAATTTTTTGTGATTTTTTAATAATAATTTCTCAATAAATTCCACGGTAACCTATATATTTTATTGTAAAAAACAAAACCTAAATATTTCAAAAACCTTATTTTTAGTTTTTTTCTACTCCATCTAATCAATAAATAATAGTAAAATTAACTATAATTCGAAAATTGTTGTTGAAGTCTTACTTTCTCATAAGACACTATACAAACACACATTTAAAAAAAGTTATAGTTAAAAGTTATAAAATAAGGACATATACTATTAGAAAAAAATTAATTTTAGTCATAATCTAATATTTTTTATTTAACATTGGTGGCGAAAGGACCTCCTTAAGGAGTTTTATTAAAGCATACAAAACAAAACACGTGCAACTAAAGAATTCATCAATAATCCAAAAAACAAAACTTTGACTTAAATCTAATTTTTAAATAAAAAATCAAAGATACTTTTCAGGAAGATTTAAATCAAAAATAATTTTTTTTTTAAGTATTTAAATCAAAAAATGATTTAAATCTCACACTGATAGGTGACAGCTCTCTCATTGGCGATGTACCCATTACTGGCCTTATTTTGTTTTTTGTATCTCAAATATAACAAATACAATTTGTTAACGCTCGCCATGCCAACATGTGATGTGCCGGTTAATGTGAAAATATCAGTATTGGCGCCGGCTGTGCTGATGTCACGATCGGCAAATGTGAAAAGGCCCATTGCCGGTGTGTATAAAAACTGTCAGTGGTGAGCACTAACAACTAATTATCCTTCCTCCATGCTAACAACGGCACCGATACCAGTTTTGTCTGTGTGTGTGTCAGTGTTGCTAGAGGCATTCAAAGAATTGTACAGATCCCAGGCCAAAATTGTACTAGATTTTAAACGATTGTACAGAAACGAAATATGTATGTAAACTAATTGTTTATTAATACATTTCTCAAACTACATGTTAATTCCAAATACCATTATTAAACTAAGTTGTTATTGACGCGAGTTTGTTATTTTGCCATGCAGTTTATTTTACCCATCCCTACTCATAAAGATAGATGAAATAAATTTCAATGAAAAATTGCGAAAATTTCGTTAAAAAAGACAATTTTTTCCCACAAATTATCGTTCATGTGGACTTTACTATGGAAGTAGTTTTTTACTTCCTCATTTTATCCACGATAACTCATGAACGGATACAAAAAAAAAACTAAAAGTTGTTTGCGATATCGATCTCTATAAGTTTTATACATGATCTCTCTAAAATGGAACGTAATGGAAAAATTAAAAGAAAAGTGTAAAATTTTATTTTTTTAGTATTTTCGTTGGCAATGAATATAAACTGCTGGCCACTCGAACTTACATAGAGATTTTTAGGCAAAAATTAAAGTTCAATATTTTCAACACATGATTTTTCAATCTAGTTATTACAGGCTCTTCCCGGTTATTTTGTACAACCTAGTGTAGCACCTCTGTAAATGTTTAGATGATAAACTAAATATATACATTTTCCACATACTCAAATATTTTTTTTTTATTATATATACGCTCTTGTACATTATCTCTAATGAAGGCCATCTTGTTTAACTTAATCTTGTAGGGTGTCGTGTCAATAAATTCTTGAAATTCTTTATAAACGGTAAGTCTTTTTGGACTTTTGTAGAAGGTATTTTTTTTTGTTACTTCTGATGCAAATAGATGTAAGAAGTGACATATACAACCAATAACAAAAATATTTGAATTAACTTTTTCTTTAAGTTTTGCTTGTAAGCCCCGTCCCATATCTGCCCCATCATAAAAGCGTTATCTGCACCGAAACCAATAACATATTATGGTAATTCATTTCAGATTTCTCCAGTAAATCCAAAATGGCTTTAGTGAGACCATCTGCAGAGCAATTCTCTACCTCTACCAGTGACAATAACTGGTCTTTAATGGAACTTTGTTTCATATCTACAAAACGGCACAAAAGTGCCAAACATTTTTTTGTAGAGATATCTGTTGTTTCATCTACTATTTAGTTGTTGCACAAGTTCATTTTCAGCCTCAATCTTCAACATTTTAATTATGTGGGTAGTCTTTTGTTTTCTCACAATTTATGTTTTTCGCCACTTGAGAATCTGAAATACTAGATACTAGAAGTTTAACAACATGATCCATTAGCAACATTGGGCACTTATATTCTGCGATGAGGCCCTGTAGCGCCTCAGTTGCACTACATACGTTAAAATGTCACACACTTAACACTTTTTAGCTAACCCTTCAATTTGTGGCAGTCCTTGTATGACAAAGGATAAACCTCATCTTCTAAGCAACTTTGGTTGCTAAGATTTATTATTGATCATGATATTATGACTTTTATATTTTTATATGCAAGACATGTCTTTTTATTAACCGACTTCAAAAAAGGAGGAGGTTATTTTACAAATTAAATAGATCTTATACGTCTTAGTAAAACAATTTATTTATGATGGGATCCGACATTTTAAAGATCCCACAGGCCCATACTTAATTTGTAACCTTTTCGGCATTTTTTTTGTGAAACTGATTCTTTTCATGCCTTGTTAAATGAGCTGCCCCACCGTCAACTGTGTGATAACATAAAGATCAAATTTTCTCTCCATTACAAAGTAGTTTTACCTATGGAAACTTTGTCTAAATTTATATTTTTTTTTTCTTAACAAAGAAATTAAAACACTATACACACTATAATTTATTTAAAAGAAGACAAACATATATTTCACAAAATCCAATACCAACATATGAAAAATAAAATGTCAAAAATGATTAAATAATTATACTTAATATTTATGCATGTGATAAAATTCTTAGTTTCCTAATAACTTTTTTGGCACATTTTATATCTGTATTAGAATACCTAAGTGTGTAAAAAATCTTCATCTTATTACCTACTACTCAAAACAAACACCAAAAAATATCACTTAACATTGCTCACGTACTAAACACAACTTGGACTGACTCCTTGATCGGTATTCTCGGGCAGGACCTTGTAAGTCGCAAAATCAACATTTTTCAGGAGATAAAAACGATTCACAAGTACATAGAACAATCCATTTTACTCTATTATAATAGGACTAATATTTACCCATGCTTTGTTCAAAAATTGTAATACTTCCCCTATACAGTAGATGGAGCGAAATGTTTTTAAAAGAAATTATTAGAAAATATAATTTTCAGTACAAATATTAGTTACGAGGTTCTGCGTTATGGTCCTCAAAATCATGTTTATATGTTATAACGCTAACGCTCTGTGCAATATGATAAGATTTAGGAAATCATTTACCATCACATTAAGGAGGTCCTTTCGCCACCAATGTTAAATAAAAAATATTAGATTATGACTAAACTTTATTTTTTTTTTCTAATAGTTGAAGTCCTTATTTATCTAATAGTGAACTTTTAACTATTCCTTACCGTGCAAATTTTTGAGATTTTTTTTTTAATGTATTTGTACAGTGTCTTACGAGAAAGTAAGACCTCAACAACAATTTTCGAATTATACTATTATTTATTGATTAGATGGAGTAGAAAAAAAAATAAAAATAAGATTTCTGAAATATTAAAAAAAAATTCAAATAACCTAGTTGAAAATTTTGTGATTTTTTAACATTAATTTCTCAATAAATTCCACGGTAACCTATATATTTTATTGTAAAAAACAAAACCTAAATATTTTAAAAACCTTATTTTTAGTTTTTTTCTACTCCATCTAATCAATAAAAATAGTAAACTTAATTAGAATTCTAAAATTGTTGTTGAAGTCCTACTTTCTCGTAAGACACTGTACAAATACTCACATTTAAAAAAAAAAAATCTCAAAAATTTGCACGGTCAGGTATAGTTAAAAGTTCACTATTAGATAAATTAATTTTAGTCATTATCTAATATTTTTTATTTAACATTGGTGGCGAAAGGACCTCCTTAAATCCATAATTTAAAAAAAAAATAAGGATTGGGATTTGTAAGAAGGTATCTTAAAATATCAAGTAATTTTTATTGTATTTTATTTAATTACAATCATAGAAAATACATACCTAATAACTCATTCCATTACCAACACTTCTCAGTATATTTACAATATCTAGAAATCTTCAATGATTTATCGAAATGATTGATTAATTAATTATAGTAACGCTTAAACAAAAACATCTTCATCCCACAATTTTAATTATTTTAAAACAGTTAAACAAGAAAAAAGAAAAACATCATTAATTCACTTAAAAAACATTCAATCGTTTTTAGTTAGTTTATAATATATTTCCAAACTTTGTTATATTACAAAATTTCTAGATTTAAATTAACAAAGCGAATTAATTGTTAAGTAAAACGAAAATTCTTAGAAAGAAGTATTTGAGGATCAAAAAAATTTGCAGTCGTTTATTTTATTACATTTTTTTCTCAACGCAAAATTAAACCTATGACAATTTTTTCGCCTTTTGATAAAGAGTATCTACTACTTTGCTCATGCTCTGTATCGTTTCCAGAGCCATTTCATAGGTCTTGTCTACGGGAGTTTCTTCAAATACTATCAGGACACCTACAAATAAATAAACAGTTTTTTGAGTAAAAAGATTTTTATTCAAATAACATTACTAACCTTCACCCTGATCCAAAATTCCGTGAAACTTGGCATCTAAAATCATCTGTGATAATTTTTTCTCTACTTGCAAGACTGGAAGTTTAATAGTTTTGGCTATATAATCTACTTGGACTCTAGAGTACGGCTCGATGATCCTACATAAATTTTGTTCCAACATATTGTCATAAAGGGTACCTAAGTGTGCTCTTACAATAACATCGTCTTCTAGTTCGTGTTTGAATTGTTTTACGGCAAGTTGAAAATCTGCGAGGGACCTATTGAAAGAAAATATTGAATTAGGTCAAAATTAGAATAAAATATGTTTCCTACAAAGCTAAAGCGTCTTCAACAATATACGTGATTTGGTAAAACAAGAGTTTTTATGAAAAAAAGTGACCTTTATAAGAACTTAATTATCAGTTCTGTCAAATAGGTCAATAACATTATTTTAGAGTTACTAATGAAGTTATTAATGTTAGTTTTAGCCAACTTATTACATCAATTTGATCACGTGAGATATGGGTATTGTTGAAGACTTTGTACTTTAAAGTTCGCAATTTTCCTTGTTTGCAAGATAAGCACAAACGTCGTTTTGATCAGTTGTTGCAGTTTTTCTTAAAATTTAATATATATTGATGTAAGTCGTATGCTGTCAACCAGTTTAAAAATCTTTAAAGTATACATTTATGTTATTTGAAGGGGGCAATCAATTAAAAGGACAGACAAGAGGACATTCAAGATAGTATACAAACTAGTCTCTGTAACTTGTGAAGGGTGGGTTGTCCCATGGCATTTAGGCTTAGGCCTATTGTACATCCTCCTAAATTGAGTCAATTAACCTACAGATCTGACGTAGTTGACAACGTCGCCAAGAGGTGCCTCTCTTATATCGACGAGTGTTAGCCCAAATTCGACAAACACAAATCTTCTAGTAAATGAGAGCATCGAGCAGTCATAGAGTATATGCTTGCACGCCCTGGAGAGTGAGGATTCTGACAGCTCCATGTTCTGCCCTGCTAAAGTAAGAGGTCGTATCTATAAATCGGTGTTTTTCGAGATTTTTACACATTTGGTAGACTTACATTTTATTATGAAGTTAGAAAGACCTATTTGCATTAGAACACATTTCAAATTACATATAAAGGTTAGTCAAAACTCAAAAAAGTACCTTACGAAGTCTAAGAGGGCATAATTATGTACACTTTTCATTTTGTAGATACCATCTCTTGACTTAACAGGAACGAGTAATGAGTGTAAATTAAAGAAATACAAGAAGAAAAATAATTACAATTATAATTAAATAAAAGTTAATTAAGTTTTAGATTAACAAATGCATTTTAAATAGTGTAAATCCATTTGTAATATTTAATCCAGGTGTGTCATATACATAACCTTAAATTTATTAAAATAAATGCCTGTAATCTCAAGTTTCAATTGATTTATTACCCTCAATGTGCTTTCAATAGGAAAATGCGTGCCATAGTTTGTATTGTGAAATGGAACATTTAACTGCCGAAGGACTCTATTAGGAATATTGAAAGAAATAATTCCTAAGAGTTCCGGGCATGTGACTAGACCATTTAATATTCTATGAATAAAATTCAAATCTGATATAAGTCTCCTGTTCTTAAGGAGGCTCATATTCAGTTCATTTAAAATCCTACTATAATTATGATCGGTTACCTGAATATTTAATTTAAAGGCACAGTATCTTAGAAATTTATTTTTTCTACACCCACGTGGATATTAGCTTATCTTGCACAGAATACAAAACGAAAAAGTATACTATTGAAATTAACTGAACGAATATATTTTATATCCATTTGATGTAATGAGAACACTGCAAAAAAATGAAATCCACCAATCACAGTTCATATTTTGGTCACTCGACAACTATTATTTTTTAGTTATTAAACTTAAATATACATTAATATGACTTATTTTTGTATAGAATCGATAAATAATAGCATTTCTATTTTTATTTATACTATAATTATAAATAATTAATTTAAATAAAACTATAAGAAGTCAATTTAATTACGAGTATTAAAGCAACAAAAATAAAAGATTAGATGGTTGTGTGGTGAGTGTTCTTGCCTTCCAAAGGGAGGACTGGAGTTCGATTCTCGGAAGGGGATAAAATTAATTGAACTTTTTCTTTTTTTTTTTCGTTTATTTTATTTTAAAAATTATTAAAAGTCATAAATTATTTTAAAATTAATTATTTTGTCTTAAACTAAAATATTTTTTTTATTTGTAAATTTTCGTTAGTGGGTCGTAGAAAAAATATACTGTACAACTCGATTGTCAACATCGCACTCAGACGATTGAACACTCCGGCCTTCGGCGTCGTGTTCAAATTTCGTCTTCCTGCAATATGGCCATCATATCCACTCTTGTTGCACACTATTCTAGTATCTCCACTGCTAGACAGTGTATATATTATTATAGGGACCAACTTATAGAAGCATATTCCAACTGATAAACAACCAATAACATTTTATTTACATATAATTTACACATAAGTATGAAACTTTTATTGGTTTCACCCTTCAAAAACACATGTTTGGTGAATAAATATTTTAAACCTTATTTAAAACACAACAAAATACATTTATTTAGCTGTCTCGAACGATCTATGTGAATGTATAATTTTGAAACCTTAAGATATTTATTTTTCATAAAAATAAGAACATATTTTACATAAAAAAATCGTACACAAGATAAAAACAAAAATTATTTGTTTCAATTGAAAGAAATAGAAGCTCTAAGCTGACCTCAATAAAGGATATTTTATCTGAGTTAAATTGGCTTCCAGTGACAGATTTCATAAGGTATCCAGTCCTTTTATTTTATAGTAATTGCTCGTCTGGTTATTATTCCGCCTCGTTAGGTACTGCAGTGAGCTTTGATTTTGTTTCCTAAGTGCAGATGGCGATACCATTTTTGACTCCTTTATTACTTATTCGTTCTTAACCATCTTTCATGCATATGAGTAAAGGTATCACATCAAGCAGACTTCACTAGAGACTGAAGTCGAGATCATCTAATAATTGCTGATGAGTCCTAATAATGATGAAACCGGTCCAAGTATGACTTTCTTCTTAGAAAGCAAAATCAAAATTAGAGTGTTGAAAATTATTTTCTATCTCTGCTATTCACTTTTTGAAATAATGAAACGCCTGTTGCGGTATTAGCCAAGGGAATAGTTTTCAAGGGGGAAATGGTCACTCGTTATGAAAAATCTGATGGAGAAGTAATCACATTTAGTCAGTTAGCAGATTTTGTTACTCTAGGAATAAAAGAGTGAGAACCATAATTTGTTCTATGGAAAGGTTGGGAGAATGTATTAATATTTCTAGTTACTCTAGAGGGTACAGAAAATCCAATTTGGGATAACAAGTAGGGACAATCGGCAGATGAGTTAATAATGTTAAACAATATTTTAAGATCCCTTTGGTTTCTTCTGCTCAGAAGGGTCTCAAGATGACAAAGTGCGTGAAATTCGTCATAATTGTATCTGAAGTTGATCAGGACGATACCCGATTTAAATGCAACAATGCGTAAAATTTTTCTTTGAACCTGTTCTATATTATGGATTAGATATACATAAAAAGGAGTCCATACAGAAGAAGCATATTCAATATAAGGTCTAACTAAGGCACAATAAAGAATTTTTAAACACATCACATTATGAAAATCAGAAGTAGTTCTTCTAAGGAAACCCAACATTCTTAATGCTTTATTAATTGAGGCCGTTATGAGTTTGAAAAGAAAGGGTGGAATCTAATATCACACTCAAATCTTTTACCTTCATGATTTATTTTTATTATTCCTAATTTGTATATTTTAAATAGATGTGCACTTGAGTATCTGATGGATAAAATTGTATTTAACCATGAGATACATCAGTATAACACATGTAACAGACAGAAATGTTTTATACCTAGAATAGTCATTATTTTTCAAGTTAAACATAAAGTTGCACAATTATTATATTAGTATTATGTCGGTGGCTATTGTTATTAGATGCAGTTCACATTTGAAAGTATTAAAATAATGATCAAAATCAATTTGTGAGTAAGTTAGTAAGGAACAATATTTTGTCTCTAAGTAATTTAGGGAAAAATCTTCATATTCTGAACTCAAAATTTTCCAGTTAGAATGTGTCCAGATATTAATGAAACATCCTGTATAAAAATTCTTTCACATTTTTTTAAAAGGTCCATGCACTGTATCACTTGACTATTTCACCATTGTGCTAAATCATAATCTCTATTTTACATTTTATTTGATTTTGCCATTATTCATAATGAAAATGGCACAAACTTGGAAGCAATTCAAAGATCCTTATCAAATCAAAGAACCTTAACTTTTAATGATTATTGTATAATATCCTGCACTTTTTTAAGCATCAGAATGGTGAATTCTCATTTTTTAATATGTAAAAAAATTGATAATTATTTACATTTCATTCATGTTTTATTTTAAACTTTAACACTTTGTTTCTAGTTTGATACATGAAACACCAATAACTAAAATGGTGTCATTTCTAGGACCTGATTGGCTTACATGATTTATGTAGTGATTGTAACTGGTTAATTAAAGAGTAATAATGCAAAGAGTATAATTTAAAAACATCTAGAGGTTAAGTAGCTGTTTTGATCATTATGTTAATTATTGTCAGCTTAATTGGCATAGTGTTTCACTCCATTTTTGAATATTTTTTTAAGATACATACATTAATAAGATCAATATTTATAAACTCTGCTTGGCTAGCAGGCCCTTGAATGAAATAGAAGTTCAGGTAAATTATGCGAATTTAGATATGGACAGTAATAAATTTATAATTATACTGTACATTTACAGATTTGTTACTACTTCAAATACTGCTCATCTCTAAATTCCAGTGCAATTCTGAAACCACCAGGAATTCTAAAGAAATAATTATGGGTTATACATGAATATAATAAAATTCTATTTTTTTAAGTTATGCTTGTATTTTTTATTTTAATATTTTTTGACATATAGGTAACTAAAAACTTAAAAAAAAAAACTAAATAACTGCTTATAAGTGACTTGTGCCATTCTAATACCTTGTGAGAACAAAAAATATATTAGAGTAGAAGCTAAAAATGGCTATATGCTTAATACAAAGTTCCTTTATGATCTAGGAGGTAATATAAGTTTAATTTATTTAGTTTCAAAACATTTTTGTAGCCTATGAGGTTTTATGTAATGAGTATGTGACAATTTGATGTACAAATCATACTTTTGTGAAGGTGGGGGTTACAAGGTATTATAATTAAAAATGACAATATTGGCAATATTTCTTTTTATTCCTAAGTTTTTTCTAGCACTGTCTATATGACTAAATCGATAAGCAAGATGATAAACATATTTACAATTGGGGCAATGTATTTCTGATATAAAACCCATGTTTATTTTCTACTAATTCTGTAAATTGCTAAATGAAAAACATTCTTACCTTTTGTGGGCAGCTTGTGCAACTGCTTTCATTGCATCAATATCTTGTCCAGCATATTTAATAGCCAATTTTCCACTAACAATTTGCTGGACATCTTCAGGACTGTTAATCATAATTTTGGACAGAAGCATGTACTTAAGAGCAGTTAGAGCCTTGGGGGACTCGACACTATCGAAACCTTCGAATGCCTCATAGAAATATGAGTATGCAGTTTTGAAGTCTTTCTCATCGGCTGCATGTAGGACACCAGATTGCAAGTCCAAAGCAGCCTGCATTTTTGGAGGGCAATATATAGCATTGGCTGTTGTTCGTGCCGAGGTTAAAGCGGCTCGGGCTTTCGGTAAATTACTCAAAGCATGATATGTTTTGCTTTCGAGAAGCTGAACTTCCACCAACAAATTTTTGTCATCAAGCTTTTTTAATTCCTTTAACAATGTGGATTCTAAATGTAGGGCTTCGGCGTACATTCCAGTATCGAAATAAAGGGCAATAAGTCGGGCTTCCAGGGATTGGCGCAAGAACGTTCTTCTTTCTTCTTTTGCCCATTCTATGCATTCTTTACAAAGTTGGACCTCGATACCAATACCAGCTTCTAGATCCAAAAAGTAGTCAACTAACGATCTAACTAATTTAGCAGCCTTCGCTTTACTAATTAGACTCAAAAAAGGCCTAGTAGCCTTTATGAGCTCCGCTAGTTCCTTAGCCTTGCCCTCCTTTTTGTACTTCTCACCCAGGTTAAGGATATCTTGTTCTTTATTGACGATATTTTCATCATCTTCTTCATCGTCTCTGTTTAGTTTCAACAACTTGTCATGTTGGGAAGGTACAGATTGAGCTCTTTCGAATAACATTGCACCAGCCATATTTCTCACTTTACTGCATTAAAAAGCACTGTCATCGTCCAGAGTGACAAGCGTGTTATATTTTGACAGCTTGTAAACAGCTTTCATTTGTCACTGTTAAATTAATGTTGGTGATCCTGCATCTGTCTTAAGCTCGTTTCACATAAACGACCATGACTCGGAAGTAAATTTTTTCATTCGTGTAACTTTATTGTATAAATTAACTAATAAAAACCAAGACAGACCTAATTTTGTATCAGCAGAGAAATAGAAATTCATTATTATTTATAGGGTCTCTTGTTTGTATCTATATTAGAAGGGAGTCTCTGACTAGTCTATTATTATATAGATTTTATTTTTGTTCATATTTCAGTATTTTTTATTTTATTTGTTTATATTTCAGTATTTTTTATTTTCTTATTTGAATTTAAAATATAGTGATGCGAAATTGCTAAAGATTTTTGTTCCAAAAAATTAATGACTCCTACATTATTTTGTGTAACGTTTTCTGAATGAATTCTTGTTGGAACGTTCATATGATTGACGCTTATTTCGTACCTACACCCTCTACCTCTACACTATTTCAATTTACTCAAAAATATTCTATACAAACTTGTTTTCCATAATAAATATTAATAATAACTTTATTATTTTTCTTCACTAAGGACCGATTCCACCGTTGTGTTAAACGAAGTTTAAATTACAAAACGAAGGTTAAAATTACATTTTTACACAACGTTGGAATCGGCCCTAGGAGCCGATTTCACCGTTGTGTTAAATGAAGTTTAAATTACTGTAACGTTTGTTCAATTTATTTATAGTTTATTTATTTAAGGATCGATTCCACCGTTTAAACACAACGGTGGAATCGTCCTTAAACACTTATTTATTTACAATTTATTTATAGCGTACTAATTAATGTATATATTATTTAGGCACTAATATCACTTACAATTCTAATTTATTTATTACAATTTATCTTTTCTATCCAACACTTAACTTTAATCTGTCCGTCCGTCGACAACTCGCGCTGTTTATATAAAGCCCAACTCTGTACCAGTAATTTTTAGACGATGTCTAATGTCCGAGAATTCCATCTCATCGGCCACGTACCGCTTTTTCTGGAAGTTTCGAGAAGCGGTGCATTTGTCTAGACTTCATAGCGCGGGCAAGGAGTAAACAAAGCAGAGGGTTGACTTTTACAATTTCCAGTTGCATGGGTGAATGGCTGCAGACCAGTATTCGGACTTCGCAATTTTGTAAAATTACTTCCAGCATGTTTCTAAATGATTTTCCAATTTAGCTGATTGCTCTCTATCTTTGGCATGGCTAGTTTCTGTACCTTGGACACCAGTACGTGCTCCCTCGAACTAAGTAATGCTTCCCATACATCATGATAATATGATAAGTGGATCGATCTCGGAAGATGTTCTTCGTTATCTAATAGAAAAGATAACGCGATGAATCTTGAAATTTAAATGCTTTTCCAGGGGCTGGTAACTGATCTTGAAGTTCTGGCAATCGATTAAACTTCTTCCGGAACACAGATGCTAGACCTCCAGCGTTGTTGACGTTGGCGGAAGTGCTATTACCAGCGAATAGTCTTTAGGAACCGTGAGCAGATCTAGTTGTTGCTCGGTTGTAACATCATTATCTTGCTTTTCCGGTACCTCCATATTAACCCATAAATTCTTCAAAGACATGGTCAGGTGATTCTCGGAGCTGGTTTACTTCTTCTTCCTCATGATCCTTATACCCTCAAATGGTGCCAGCCGGTTTTGGTTAACTACCTTCGGTTTACCGTTCAGGATCTTACTTATACGGTAAATGACATCATTGATGTTTTTCTTGATGAGATATGGACCTTGCCAAGACCTTTGAAGCTTCAGAGAATAGCCTTTTTGTCTTTTTGGGTTATGGAGCCAGATTTTGTCGCCTTATTTGAAACATCCTTCTGTGGCTTGGGTATCGTATCGCTTCTTCATTATGTCTCTGGCGATTTATTTATATTTGAAGATGCGAGCGAAGTAATTCATGCATGTCGTCCATTTTTCTTCGTAGCTGGATCACATAATATTCACCGGCTATGTCTTCTCCAGGTAGGGATAATAAACCTTCCTCCTATGTACCAGAGATATACTTCTGGGTGAATATAACCAGAAAAGATCAGAATAAGCCTGCATCTGCCTGAGCAAGAACAGGCTACGTATTGTAACAGGGATCCTTACCGGGCATTGCCGACTAAAAGGACACCTAAGTAAACTAAGAGTAGTAGAGGATAGTGAGTGCAGATTCTGTGAGGAGGAGGACGAAACCTCCATTCACATCCTAACTGAATGTGTAGCACTCCAGAATCCAAGGGCACTATATCTAGGAGGATATCAAATAGAAGAGGGAGATTTGCCTAACTTGAAGCCACTTCAAATCCTACACTTTCTTGAGGAAATAGGATTGGAAGGGTCGTTTTATAGGCATTGAGACATTTCCTTAGTGCATTGGCGATAGAAGGGGGCACAATAGATATTTTAGGTCGCAGAGTGTATTAACACCCCATTTTCAACATAACAACATAACATGTACCAGGTATTGCTGTCTCAAAGGACACCTTAGTAGACTAGAAGAAGATAGTGAGTGCAGATTCCGTGAAGGGGAGGACGAAACCTCTATTCAGAATTCTGACTGAATGTGTAGCACAACAGAATAATATAGCATCTACCTAATTAGGAGAAGCATACCAAATAGAAGAGGGCCATTTCTGACCAGCTTGGTTTCACTTCAAACCCGACATTTACTTGCAAAGGTAGGATTGGAAGGGTTGTTATAAATAGACATCGAGACTATTCCTTTGCTACCTTAGCGGCAGAAAGGGATAATATGTCTTTTAGGTAGCAGTGTATTAACACTACTGAACGGAACACTACATATAACATTTGATCAGTTAAACTTACCGTTCATATCCGACAATACGATGATCCGAAAATGTTTCTATTGGTTGATTAGTTAAAAAAATATATATATAACGGGATGAATCTAGAATAAAAGTTGAAATATATTCTACTTCTCCGACGTCGAACAAATAGTTAAAGTTTCGTCAAAAGAATCCCGCCATATATTTTTCAAATATTCAGCCAATAGAAACATTTTAGGATCGTCGGATACGTAACTAAAAATATCGTATGAAGAGCCCTTATCCAAAACCGGCTTAATCGACAGTTGGTATGAATGTAAAAAGCGGATGTGGTCGTTATCTCTTACTAACTAGTTGCCATCTTTTTTGCTTATCTTTCGAACGAAGTCGAAGCTTGCTGTGAAGAGGCGTCATCGAAATTTGTGTACGTACGTTTATTTTTGTGAAATATTTTTCCTAAATTGGTGTCGTTACTAATTAAACGTATTTGCTGGTACGTGTATTTTAATTTTGCAACGTAATATGAGCGATAGAGAGGTGAGAGCAGTCTATTTTGTTGATATTTTTCGTCGAGTGACATTTTGTATAGACGCCATGTGCAACCGGTCTGACCTCGCGGCATAATTTTCTTCAAAATTGTGAATTCTGCGATTAGTTTAACTTACTTATGTTACTTTTATTTCTTTCAGGGAAGTCGTTCTCCCGGTGGCAACGCAATGGCAGAGCATTCACCCCACACGAGGCGCGAGGAATCTCCTAGAAATCACAAAATCAAAAGCTATTCAAGGTTCGATTTCTTTATTGTTTGATCAATGTTTAGGCTTGATTGTAAATGATCACGGCCTTGTACAGGGTTTTTTTATTATAATTTGACCGCTATTTATTTTCATTATTATTGCAAACAAAAAAAGTTTTAAGTAAAAGCTATGTTGTTATTGTTGTTCTATCTGTACCGACTAAAAATGTAATAACAGGCTGAATTGTATATACAGGACGACTCCAACAAAATATAATTTAATTTTTTTAATGTGACGCCCTATATATTTTTGCCATTTTAAGTAGACTTGCATTTCCTGATAACAAATATATAATATTTTAATTATTATTATTATTGCACTATGAAAGCATAACACATAGATAGCAATGAAAATCATGTTTCCAAGTGAAACAGTTGTTTGTTTATTAAAAGTTGTCAATTGATTGCTTGTAATGGGTTTTACTGTGGTCGAAAATGTTGAGGTAAAACAAAGCTTTTACTTGAAACTTTTTTTGAGTTCACATGAATTATGAAAATACGTAGTGGTCAAAATATAATGAAAAACCCTGTACATTTTAACCAAATTTATATTCCTTAAAATCAATAATTGTGATACAAATACTGGTCAATTTTTATCAGTTAGGTATACATGAATGAGAACTTTAAATTATGAGGTTTACTATTTAAAAATAGTTTTAATTCTCTGGAACTGAATTGCAATGTCAACTTATTTATAAACAATATTTTTTATCTTTTTTTATTTGATACTTCATTTGTTTTCTCTTTAACAATTATTTAGTAAATATCCTATTTGAGCCCTTGTTGATTTTGACTTTTTCCCTAAAAAAAATGCATTTTGATTAATGTATATTTTCATGTTGAGTACTTACTCCTGCATGTTTATGTTGGTCAATTCAAGAAGGACTCAAACTAGAAATCCAAACATTCATTTTATATTTTAGTCATTATCTATCTCTTAACCTATGAAAAACTAATCATTATGTACTTGTAGGTATCACTATTGCAAACAAAAAATTTTAGTTCCATATCTTGTGTACAATTATTTTTTTTAAATAAAAATATTTCACTTTTAAGTCTTGTCCTTTTGCCAAGTCATACAAGAAGTTTACATTATTTATAGTCAAAATAGTACAGCAATTCATTTCTAATTTTCCTTACCAAAACAATATTTTATAATGTAACTATTGATGTTATTTTTCCCACTCAGAACCCCAGGTTCAGTTCTGGTAAAGGATCCTGAGGTGGCGAATTTCATAATTTTAGCATTAATATATTGAAGTAACTTACTTTTTATGATATTTTAACTGAAATTAAATATGGAAGGATACATTTCATTTGCTATTTTTATTTATATTATAATAAAATGCAATATTTTGACTGATTTAACCTAACTTTTCATCATTTTCTTCCATAAAACCTAA